TTTTGTCCACATTGTTCTCCCTCTCTATCCAGGATCTCCTACATAGATCTCCTTCCACGTGGTTGACATTGGTAGCCAGGCACCATCTAGTTCTTCTGGTCTCATAGTTGTATAGACTGCAGATTGGATGGTGTGCCAGTCGCTAAGACTGATTGTGTCCATGAAATTTTGATTTTCTTCATTCTTCTTTTTTCTGGACGGGGAGAGACCCATCGTTGCATCCAGATGGCAGCTTGCAAGCTTTTAAGATCCCAGTCGCTACTCGCCAAAGTAGGAGGGTGAACAATGTTTTGTGTAGTATGTTATGCCAACTGAGTTTGATGTCCCCTGAGACTATGGTCCCAAGCCCACAGGTTCAACTACTCGGTCCCTCTTGGTTTTTGTAGCAGATTTGCCCAATGCAGTACATCATCTGATGTCTTAATTGCTACTTCCATTGGTGTTGATTATAGAACGAAGTAATATGAAGTCCCTGACAACTTCAATCTTCTCTCCATTTATTGTGAAGCTGTCTATCGGACCAGTTGCGAGGATTCTTGTTTTCTTCATACTGAGGTGTAATCCATACTGCAGACTGTAGTCTTTAATCTTCATCAGTAAGTGCTTCAAGTCATCCTCATGTTTTCAGAAAGCAAAGTTTTGTCATTAGCATATCTCAGGTTGTTAATGAGCCTTACTCCAATCCTGATGCCATGTTCATCTTAATGATTATTTGTGCAGTGTACAGATTGAATAAGTATGATGAAAGGGTACAACCCTGATGCATTCCCTTCTTGATTTTAAACCATGCAGTGACCCCTTGTTCTGTTCAAATGACAACCTCCTGGTCTATTTACAGGTTCCTGATGAGTACAATGAAGTGTTCTGGAATTCCCATTCCTCTCAATGTTATCCACAATTTGTTATGATCCACACAATAGAATGCCTTTGTATAGTCAATATAATCCAAATAAACATTTTTCAGGTATTCTTTGCTCTCAGCCAACTTCCACAGTTACAAACACCCATTAATAATCAGAACATGGAATGTATGAAGCATGAATCTAGGAATATGGGGAGTTTTCAAAAATGAAATGGAACACATAAGGATTGGTATCCTAGATACTACTGAGCTGAAATGGACTGATATGGATAATTTTGAATCAGACAGTCATACGGTTTACAGTTGGAGACCAAGAAAAAGACTTTGAAAAGGACAGGATTGCAAGGTACATGTTCTAACAGCAACAAGAGAAGGCAAGGCCTCTCATGGTTGAATGCTTACTTGGCAGAACATTGAATGTCAAGAATAATTATTCCAGTTATTCATGATTGTTATATTATAGGAGCATTTCATACTTCAGGTCATTATGCCCTAGTAATTAGTGTTTAGTTAATAGGTTACTTCAGTTATACATATTTATTATCTTGATGGAACAATTCATACTTTAGAATAATGTATTTTAGCAAATATTTTACTTTTCCTGTAAAAGCTTTTAATCCAGCCAATCTTCTGTTACCTCCAGATATATAGAAGTGTAAAATTTAAGCTTTGTAAAAGAATACTTGATTGTATTAACCAGACTCCTTTTAACTTTGTAGAAAATACTTGATTGTATTAAGCAGATTCCAAGAATAATGATGAAATCATGTATTAATATATAAATAAAGCAAAATGTGGACATCAAGGGTCGCTCTCCAAGAATACGCAGAGCATCTGCCTAGCCCCCATTTCTCTTAAATCCTTTGATCCTTTTGTGTTGCTCTGTTTCATGACCTGTGCTGCCGTGCTGGACGCGGCAGTCTACTATGCCAGGAATGACAAAGGGAAGAGAAATGGTGTCACATTCATTGTCAAAAAGAATGTTTCAAGATCTATCCTGAAGAACAATGCTGTCAGTGATAGGAAAATATCCATAGGCCTACAAAGAAGTCCAGTTAATACTACTGTTATTCAATTTTACCAACCACTAAAGCCAAAGATTAAGAAATTGAAGATTTTTCCAACTTCTGCAGTGTGAAATTAATGAAACATGTACTCAAGATGTATTGATATTACTGGTGATTAGAATACTAAGTTGGAAACAGAGAAGAATCATGTGTAGTTGGAAAAGCTGGCCTTGATGATAGAAATGACACCCGAGATCTCATGATAGAATTTTGCAAGACCAACCACTTATTTGTTACAAATACATTTTTCCAACATCATAAATGGCAGCTGTATATATGGAGGGACCTTGCCAGATGGAATACACAGGAATCAAATAAAATGTATCTGTGGAAAGAAGCTGTTACCAGACAAATGTGGCTTGTAAGCTATCTACCTCAAGAAGAGGCAATTATCTAACAAGAGGATAAGGTGAAAAGCAAGAGCATTATTAAGTATCAATACCCAAGGAGACAAGGGGTCCTTGGGTCCATCAAAGACTGTCTCCTTGAGCTGAGAAAAGGTTAGAGTTTATAAAGGGAAGTGGGGTATGGGATAGGGGTTTGAGAATGTTGATAATGCATTCTTCTTTTTTATTGGGATGAATTGTTTTTGCCTTGTGAACTTTCTATTATTTTTCTGGTCAGTGATATAGAACTGGTCTTGGTCAGGAAAAATTGTTCTACAAACTCTTTGCATTTGGCCAGAAAGATTAATTTATTTACAAGGAGGGAAGCGTGTGGGACTCAGATGCAAGCAAAGGTCAAGAGGAATGTGGGGATCGGTGGACTCAGGCAGGAAGGCATGAAGACCTGCAAACAGGAAAATAAATATGTTAAAGCTTGGTCAGATGGCTGTTCCTTAGGTTGTTTTATCTTCCGGCGACTATAACAATTGTGTTGTCAGAAAGGACCAGTCCCTGGGGAAGGATTGCGTGCTTGGTAAAGGAAAGAGTTAGTGGAGAAGGGAAGACTCTCAACGAGATGGACTGACACAGTGGCTACAATGACGGGC